CCAGCGCCTGGCACGACAATAAACAGTACGTCGACATCTTTGAAGATCTCAATAAGCTCATCTCGTTTGCCCATCTCCGCTCGCACGACTGTGACGCCTTGAAGGGATGTAAATTCAGCAACTTTCTCAGGGTTTCGCACGCCAGCTCTGATATGAAGCTTCTCTCCGTAGTTTCTTGCAAGTGCATTTATTGTAGCTTTGCCAACATTACCACTAGCCCCAATCACAAATACTCTACTCTTCGACATCTTAAAACAAGATAGATGACCACTGTTAAAATGCACATCAGTTATCAACTGTATTTGTTACGTTGGCTTTATAGTTGAAGGGCGGGTGCTTCGTCATTCCCCAGGCCTCGTTTTCATTGGTTAAAAAGCGAAACAATGATGGACATTATTTTTACCACTATTATTGTTACACTATTATATAGTCAGCATGATGCGGGGATTAGTCAGTTTGGCGAAACGCACAATGCAATATCGCATGACGTAAACATACCAGCCCTGCGTGTCAGCATGACGTAAATACATGAGTTGTGGTTCCGGTTACATCCTCCTCGACGCGCTAAAACGTTTTGCGTTTTAAAACGTTTTGCGAAGCGTTTGTGGTTGAATTTTACCTTAAATTGAAGCTTATATTACGTAAATATCATACCTAACATATATATGTAGGGAAATTGATAATTTTGTAATTAAATGTGATATTTTTAGGCGATTTTTCATTTATAAGAATATTCTTAAAAAAATATCGTGTTACCATGACAACTACTTTAGATACTTCATGTTCGGAAACTACAATGGTTTTGTCAGCAAGGCGAGGGTTTCTGCATGCATGTATTTTCTAGTAGCTCATGTAATTTTCCCAACCAACGCTATTAACTTCCCAAAGAACTGCCCTTCTCTCGAAACGTCGAAGTTCAGGTATACGTAGTTGTCACGGTATCTCTCAATTCGCAGCTTTCTTGCTATCGTAACTGACTTGCACTGGCACAGACCATTGGTGCAGTCGTTTGATGCCATATATAAGACTGCGGCCATGCTAAAATTCGCCCGGAATCTCTCAGACTACAGCCGATATATATTACTAGGTGTACTTATTTCCTAATGGCATATGTAAACACCGGACTGTTCTTGGATTGGACTGGATTCTGAAATTTTCTTATTATTTTCTTTTTACAGTAAGAATTTTCTATATAAATTATACTTAAAATTATAATTAATTATAGTTAATTATATTTCAGAGTTATGTATAGGGTAGTTTGCCTAGTTTATAAATCCCTAAATAACTTGACTCCAGACTATTTAAGTAATATGTTTAAACCATTGTCAACAATTTCCCAGCGACATACAAGAAGCACTGCCAATATGGACTTATGGATACCAAACTATAAACTATCAATCACCAGGAGTGGACTTCGGTACACTGGAGCATATTTTTATAATATGTTAATTGCCACCAGATATTAGATCTTCCAGCTCATTTCAAGCATTCAAGCGTAAAGCCCATGAATTGTTTTTGGATATGTATAAAAATAACTCATAAGATGACAGTGTATGTTAATTCCAATTGTTTATACCTATATCGATGTGTACTTTATGTAATTATGTATACTGTAGTCTGCAGAAATGTAAAATGTACTCAGCATGTAAATATTATATTTACTTCGATTATATAGTTAACTTTAGAAGGTCCCGTGGAAGATTAGCGAAAGCTAAACTGGCATATTTCCTTGTAAATTAACCTTCTTTAAATAAAGTTTTAATAATAATAATAATAATTACGATTAACATTTCTATATAGCGCAAGTTTACATGTGGATATGGCCAAAAGTGCTTTACATCTATATCTTTACATCCATCTTTACATCTATCTTTACATCTTTACATCTTTAGTGCTATATGTTTGTCTTGTAACAAGTCCCGTAATTTGTCTTGTTCAAATTTGTGTTGTTATCGAATTCTAATGTGACCTGTGTTGGTCTTGTTAAGCTTCATTGTCGGCTAATTTCCACTCAATAAAATTTTCCGCAGGAGCGCACGGCATTGAAACTAACGACTTTAGCACTATGTAACTTTCCTTCCGTTACTATCCTGCGGAGGGTTTTCCTGGGTGCAAACTGGCCTTTTTATATTACTAAAGATCTAATGTAGAATGTGTCATGTTCGTTCTGTAAGGGCTGCTGTAATTGGCGCAAAGCTGTAGCATATACCCTGCCATTGATAACACCGCGGAAAAACGTCTGCGCATGCGTCCACCTTACCTGTAATAGTATTGTGAACTTGATGAGAAGCTGTTCCGAACGTTTCCGAAGGCTCAAAATGGCGGTAAAAAGGAGTGACTTCATTGTGCGTCTTTACAGCCAGATTTCGAGCGCAAAAGTAAACATGTCATTCTAAAAACTAGGAATAAATACAGCCAGAAGGTTCAAGAAATTGTATTGTACAAGAACATGAACTAAAGGTGATTGTTGACAAATTTATCGTCTGAAACATTTTGTTTATCAACTAAGCAACGACCATTACCGAATTTTCGTTTGAGATACATTTCTTTAAAAAAAACTGTGTCGCCAAATATAAAAAATTTTCGTGTTCACAATAATTAAACTTTAGGATTTATTCTACAATTTAAGTGGGTTAAGAAGCTTAACTTTTCGAGAGTTTTCTTAACTTTTGAGTTTGAATTTTTGTTTTGAATAATTTTGCAAAAATTTTCGAAGTCGTGTCCGTTAAAATCAACAATTTTTTACATGAATTATATTTCATTCCATACTTTAAATGGCAGGACGCTTTCAATTAATGTCTAGTCTACCCATTTGCTATATTTTCTCGTTTGTTTTACTAATTTTTGACCAATTAATAAGCATGTTTTTGTTTTAGAAATTGATATTCAAATTCCCCGCCATATTTTCATAATTTGGTGCATGCGCAGACGTTTTTCCGCGGTGTTGCCATTGATTGATAGTTTGTATATTCTTGTGCTTGTATTTGTGCACATATGATGGTGTGAAATTGGCAAAGCATAATAAATAAATAAATAAATAGATAAATAAATAAATAAATAAATAACATCAAGTGTTAAGGGCTTAAATTAAGGCCGATTTCCATTCAGTGCAAAACGTCGCGAGATCCAACCTCGTACCCAGGGCATTTTGCTTCCGGTCAGCGAAAATGGCCCTGGCATCGGCCGGTCACATGACCTCAAAATCTCCAGTATTTGGGGGGTTCAATTATGATAATTTTTGCGTATAAGTAGGAATATAGAATAATGATAGACATTGTAATTACTGACAGGAGTAAACAAACTCAATGCTGCGTATATATAATCAAAGGGAAAGAAACGAAATAAGTTGACTTTATTCGGTTTTCGTTGTTTACACCTCATTCAGCAACATAGCCCGATCAATTCTTGCTCAATTCTTAATGAACAATCAAACAAAACAAAACCGCTTCAGCGTTTGCCGTTTGTTTTATGTAAATCGTGTTATGAGCAAATATATTCGTATCACAATCTTTGACTATAAGTATAACGTACGTTTCTTGAAATCGACGATGTATAAACAACGCATGTGAGAAATTTATGTTGAAACGAATCAAATACAGAAATACTCGTCTATACAAATGTACAAAGACTTAATTTTAATTTACTCAATACTTTAGTCCTTCAAGAACTAATGATAAATTTGTCACTCCACTCTCGTTTCACCAAAACAATAATTATTTCCCCCGTATATTGAATAATTATATTCAAAATCATTGACCAATCAGATTGCAAAACAGACCAGCCGATGCCAGGGCCTTTTTCGCTGACCATCCGACCGAGGAAGCAAAAAGCCCTGGGTGCGAGGTTGCGCGAGATCAACTTTTTGCGATCACTTTCTTTTGAAATGTATTGTGTTCAGTCAACCTCGTCCGTTGCGTTTGATGGCTTATATTTCAAAAGAAAGTGATCGCAAAATGTCGATCGCGCGACATTTTGCACTGAATGAAAATCCGCCTTTACTGCTCAGGCTGATCATGAGCCTAGACTATTTTGTCTCTACAACAATCTGATATTACTTTCTTAACTGTGTTTATGCAATTATGCTAACCCACCCTTTCAACTTTCCCTGTGGGAGGAAACCGGAGCGCCCGCTACGGATTCTTGCTACGGACTCTTTTCCCATGAGTCCGTAGCGAGAATCGAACCCACGACTGACTCCGAGGTGCTTACTCGGACGACTACGCCATCGAAGTCCACATAAATCATAATGGAACGACTCGACGTAGTAGACTAGTCATGCGGGTTTTCGTTTAAATTCTAGACGTACGGCCTTTGACGACACTAGTGCCCAACTGGCAACTACTACAAAATTGAATGGTATGTGGAGTAGAGGGCTGCATATAAAGACCGTGCTTTCACAACACCAGTCACAATACAACAAATCGAATCAAAAAGTAAAAAGTGATATATAAACACCTAACAAACAATACTGGGAACAGGTATGGGAACAATACGGAAGAGGAAGGGAACAATACGGGAAGTAAAACAATACTGGGAACAGGTATGAGCAGGGATTTTTGGACGGTCTGCAGTGCCGTAGCAAGCTCGATAATTGGTAGACTTGCTCAAAGTCTCTCAGTTCCTTGTCATATAGTATCGAACTATCGATCCACTATAGTGTACATTACATGACGTAGCACGGAGGGGCGGAGCGAGAAAGAGAGACTTGTCAACTGTCAACTTCGGAAAATCTCGGTTCAAAACTGAACCGAAAATGCAAGACTTGCTTTAATTATTTTCCTTCAATTTCTGTATTATTTACAATAATGGAACTCGTGTTATTTACACTGTGCTAGATCAATACATATAAACACTGACAGAAAACAATTAAAGCAAGTCTTTCTCTTCTCTCTTTCTCGCTCCGCCCCTCCGTCATGTAATGTACACTATAGTGGATCGATAGTATATGACAATGAAAGGGAGACTTCGAGCAAGTCTAGATAATTGGGGGGTACCCATATTGATATATTCGTGTTCACAGGCCATAAAAACGATCGATTTCAAAAGATTTCATGGTTACTCCCTCAATTAATTAACTCCCACTAGCATATGAACGAAACGCACATGCAATCCCTAATATTTTTCGTCATGCATGCGCAGTCTATACTAAAAACTATCTCTTGTTTTTAATTGATAACTATACTATACTACCTCTTGTTTTTAATTGATAACTGGTAAGTCGTAACATAAACGAAGGCAGGGTAGCGCTATTCACTGGTAGTCATTTTTCGGTAATCGTTCCATGTTTCGCGCACCAATATAGTAAACATAACGTAATGGATATTATAGTGTACTGAAAAGTTCACTAGATACCACCATACACATATAACACACCCTAACCCTAACCCCAACCTTAAACCTAACCCCTAACCTTAATACCTAACCCCTAACCCTAACGGCCTAACCTATATTGGTGCGCGAAACATGGAATGATAACCATTTTTTTCAATCGTTGCAAAAATATTTTAAAAGCTATAAAACTCATCATCTTCCCTCGGTGGGCCTGCACGCGGGCTAGACCATCGTTTCGTTTAAAGTGCAAATCTATCTTGTGGCAAGGAGGATAGGTCGCTCCGAAAAGACTTGAAATAAAACGGGGAAAGAAGACGTCTTTCGGAAAAACAAGCACACTAAATTATCTGTTCCTAGTTGGCCGCCTTCGATCATCATCCCAATCTTTATGAAACTCTGAAGTTTAAACTTCATATGAATATTTATATATACGTACTTTAATTCAAATATCAGTTAGGTGATATTCTTTTGGATATTCGTTTCCCTCTTTTGGATCCACTCAGAAGAAAAGCCTCACATCCATTTGTTTGTAACACTTTTGTGCCCATAACGCTTATCAGAAAACCAACGAAAAATTGAGTATGCATCACACATAAACATGACGTTCAAAAATTTAATTATGGACAAAACATTGTCAGATTGCGCAAATAGTGAACCTCATTTAGATTTAGAAAACTTTGCAATTTGCCATAAGTTAGGAAGATGCATATTTTTCCTCACTGAGTATAGGTGAGAATTGCTGGAGCAGCTATTTTGAGAAAGTAGATTCAACTTTGAGAGGGATTTAAGTACAGTACCTGAACAATACAAGTTAGGCAAGGACTGATATAGCTAAATATATTAAAAGAAAACTTAGGCAAAGAGTCAAGGACAGATAGAGCTAAATATATTAAAAGAAAAGTTAGGCAAGGAGTCAAGGACAGATATACAGTAGCTAAACATATTAAAAGAAAAATTAGGCAAGGAGTCAAGGACAGATATAGCTAAAAATATTAAGAAAAACGTTCATTTACACACTCTTACGGAAAGTACAAAACCTTGGCTTAGTTGACTATATAGCCTCGTTTTGGTGATCGAGACGTTAGTATGTCACACAAATGAAAACGTGGCTCTAAGTGACGTACTTTCTGGAAGGGTGTAGAGAGGAATATTCGAAGTTGATTTTCTCACTTATAATCGCCTATTATAAGACTGTGAAAAAAGAGCCTAAAATGTTAATTTTTGTCGTGAACTTCAGGCAGTGTATGGTTAATTGGTGTGGGAGCTTCTTCCACCTTACGTCTGCATCTCTAGTGAAAATCAGAAAATAGGGGCAAGGTACCTTGAGTTGTATATATGGATAATTACCAATTCAATCATTTGTGAGGATGTTATATCATTTTAATAAAGCTTATAAGCAATATAAGATGCTGAAAACGAATTTTCTGGCAAATCGTAAGTAAATGCATAACTACAATCTTTGCAAGACGCTAAGATTGAAACGGGTGGGGGAAGGGAGGGTGGTAAAAATGTATCAAGAAATGGTAGATTGTCGTATGGAAACTAAAGATTGTCCCAATGTATACTGTCAAAGATTGTAGTCTGAAGATTTTGAAAAAGCAAAGATCACATGCCGAACTTCTCGAAAAAAGAATGGAGGCTACTTCCTCCTATCCTGAAAGCTACGCATTTTGCTTTGGTTTGCATGTATAACTACTTGACAACATTTGGTTACGATATTCATACAGTACCTTATTAGTTTTAAATAAATTCAATTAAATTGTACCCGGAACCCAAATAATTAACTGATGACGATATATCCCAGATAATTAATTTTTATTGAAAATATATTCACCTTATTTACTGTAACTGCTCTACACAGGAGGAATTGTACCTATATTCAACAAGAATATATCTACGATCGAAATGTTAATTAATACAATTAATTATTGCCACTATCATTGATAGTATTTCAATTAAAAGTGCAGTGGCGACATTTATATCATTCAGTGCAAATTGCAACCCTTGACAGTATTCTTTTAACTTGTGACAGTGCTCACTTTGCGCGTTTAGGATAAGCTGTGTGCTTTCACTCAGTTATTTGTAAAAATGGTTACGTACCTCACAAACGTATTCATGACAGTTTTAATCATTCGTATAAACCATGCACTGTGGGCCCAACCTTACCAACATCTTACGAGCGAAAGCTCTGTTTAATGTTGAGTTTGTATTAGTGCATAATGAGTAGACATCAATATTGAAATATACGCGTACATTCATACATGTGTTCAAGTTTACGGCCAATACCTAGGCAAACCCCTTGTGCTTAAAATACCTACAAACTATATAGTAAATTATTGCTTTCATTGCAATTTATGTTATAAAAACACGCTATCCTGACTATCCATTGGTGATGTCTGAATTGAAAATTTTTGTGAATTGCTCGACGAATTATGCGATGCTTTTTCTGTCTTCTTTCGACCAGGACGTTGTTTTGGTACCTGCCCCATCCCCTCCGTGGGTTCCTGTAATTACGAAACCAAAATCAGATTAAAATCAGATTAAGTACAGGTGCGGGACGAAAGTCTCTAAAAATAGAAAAAGCCTCCAGGTAAGATACAATCTCACAATCAAGGCCCTTTCTTTCCACTCCCCCTCGCAAACGAGGTAGAGAGCCTGTCTTGCAAGATTGTCTAAGATTCAACAAGGATTTTCCAACGAAGAAAGTTGAAAGGCAAAATGATTGGAGAACATAATTTTTTAGCACCAAAAGGAGCGGGATATGTTGGCAGCCAAGCAACCACATTATTTCGCGTAGTATAAAGTCTGTATATCTCTATCTCTAAAGAGCCCAATTGTCCTGTGCTCTGGAAAAATGCATTCACTCGTTATAAAACTCACCAACAAACACATGAAGAACATTCAATGTTTTTTTTATATAAAACCGCGATCCTTTTATTTCGCATTTCTGTGTTGTACCGGAGATTTATAATCACTTGCCTTCGGCTCGTGTTTGTATATCTGACCACAGTTAATACAAAACACGGTCAATCACGCTGAATACAATACTGTACAGAAGTCACAGAAGATCAATAAATCCTACTTTAAAATTGTATCTTACTCCAAACCAAACCTTTCATCTAAGTACGGTATTTTTTTGCACTTGGTGGCAATAAAATACTGTATATTTAACATAGAATCTACTTTTGAAGGTTTCTGTCCTTAAAGATAGAGCATATGGCATGAAACTATTAATTGTCATGAAATAATTATCAAAACCGTAGAGTAACTTTTTTCCAGATTTTTATCTCCATGTTTTGTTGTTGGGATATTTCATTTTCTTCACTGTACACATGCACGGAATAAAACACACGCGGAAGTATTGTTGGAGAATGGGATCGGGGTGAAGTGAACCAATTATATTTTCAACATTATTGGAGAGTTGCAATCGATCTCTTGAGATTTACAAGATACGCTCCGAATGCAATAGCTAACAGGATTCATTTTTAAAGTTCCTCGAACATCCCGCCATGATGTCAACTAATCAAGCGATAAAAGCAGTTGCTCAATTTGGTGTTAATATTGTTTTTGTCAACATTTCAAAGAGTTATTGTGTGGCGTGGTGGTAACGGCATTCGGTTTTATTTTCATGACGTGGGTTGAAATCCTGGCCGAGACACTATGTGTTGGTTTGGGGATGAGCTTCCATTTATTTTATAAAATTAAAAATCTTACTTTAATTCGTACAAATCCTGCATGCAGGAAATTCTAATTAGTGGTCACATTTTTTGTAAAATAGTACTTAGTTAGGACTTGTATATGAGTTTGTATGCGTTTCATTTAGCACAGGTAATCTCAACTGTTTTAGGGTAAAATGACCATGGCGGTCAACATGGCATATGTGCCAAAACCTGAATCCGGGACGAAAGTCCTGAAAATGACCCCGCCCTGAAACGGCAGTGTCGACATAGCTCTAACTTCAGAAAACAAAAAGCGATAGTCTTTCTGAAGTGCTTATAGTGTTTAGAAGGGTTGCTTTTAGGAGTGGTCATTGGAAGAAAAATTTGTCTAAGTATAATATTTTACAAGAAAATGACCATGCACCAACCCCAGGTAAATTGCTGATTATGCATAAAATAA